CAGGTTGAAGGATGGACAAGGTACAGGCGGAATGGGGAGGGCCAGCTCTTAGCGTTCTTTTCTTGGACGCAGACGGAGAGTTTCAACTAATCGGCCTACGAGAGGTACTTGCTGGGACGACGAGAGGGCGAACGGGTGAAAGAAAAATAGAGGCGAAAGAAGTGGAGAGGATGTGAAAGTACGAGATGGAGCACTGAGATTCTTCATAAAATGGAATATCCGGGCTCATGATGCACCGGGAATTCGCTATTTAGAGGGCGAACGTCTGGATCTGGATCATTTCCGGGTCGGGATTATTGCGCGTGTGGAGGAAGTTATTTATGACATTGGGGATTGTAATTTTGGCGAGTGGCGTTATTTCATTGGAATGAGATGGGATATTTTTTTTCATATCCGTATTACAAATTTCGGAATTTCGTAGACTTGAACACTTTTGGCTGAAATTTCCGGGACACTTTTGAAAATTTTTGTAGTGTTCTAGTGCCACTGAAATTCCAAGAAATGTCAGTGAAAGAAATTGAAAATTCTATGGGACAAGCGAAGGAAACTGTAGTTTCAGCTCATATATTCCGCAAAAATTATTAGGAACTTCCTGTCTTTCTGGTCCTCAAATATTAAAAAATTCATTGAATTTGTAGTCAAATATGAGATTTAATAATTTGTGTCAAAAATACAAAATAAAATCAATTCGGAATGGAAACGTATTGAACTTATTAATTGTAAGTGGAAGCATTAAATTATGATATAGCATCTTCATTTCAAGAAATGTTTGAATTGAATTAAAGTGTACCAGTGTGATAAAATGATCATCAGCTTGGAATAACTCATTACAAACTGGAATTATTGTGCACTATAAGGAAATTACTCTTGAAATTGCAAGTGAAATATCAAAATATCATACAAACTTCTCAATCTATTAAACATTGAAGCTATCCTTTCAATATTTATGATCTCTAAACTTGAAAGAACCTATTCTTCTGAACGTAGACGATGAATAATGAATTTCATGAACGATTTGATTGCCTGAATTAAAATTAATAAATAAATTCCACACGCAATTGTTACTTAAATGTCCTAAAATTTCTAACAATGTGTCACAATATTTGGGGACGTAAGACTTGACCTGATTTTCTGATGCTGAAATTACAAACTGTTAGAAGTTTCTTAAAATTTCAGTCGCAGCGTCATCTGAATTGTCGATTTTGTGAGTTTGGATTCAATTTCAAATGAAACCGTTCATAAAATTTCTCATTCATCTTGAAAATTCAAGAAAATTGGGGTTTTCACGTTAAATAATCATTGATTTATCAATGAACGTTTGAATTTCTAAACTCATCATGAAAACGGAACATTACACACAATTCAATATTCAATAGACCCAGAATTCCGAAAAGTTGTCTGAATTTTCAAAATTGTCAATATTTTTCAGTGTCGTATGGACTTGAGAATTGAAAGTCACTTGAATAGCCAAGAAATTAACTGATTCGTTAACGAAGAAACATCCAGAAATTTCGCGTATCTTCACCATTGTTAAAAATATCAAACTGTTTCACTTGAAATTTCAAGAGTAATTTTCCAGCAGTGTAAATTTCCTCGATAGCCCGGTGGCCTGGCGTAGTGGTTAAGGCCGTTGCCTCACAACGGATAGGTTCCAGGTTCGATTCCTGGCCGGGTAGAATGGTGAGATCTAACCATTTTTAAAGTCTTGATCAATCGCCATATAGTCTCATCAGACTCGAAGCGATATAAAATAAGCATAAGAAAAAAAAAAAATTTCCTCGATAAAATCCAAAAGTGTGATACCCTCAGTAACTTCTAACAGTGTATCCCCGCACTTCACTAAACAAACCAAACAAATATTCAAAATGAAGAGTGCACATCATCCACTCCTGCCGCACACCGTTCTCCCGGGGATATAGCCATACGGATTGAGAATAGAATCATCCGTAGCTCGCTCCACATCCGTCGAAATTGCGTGATCATGCGAAAGAATGAGCGGGTAAACTTGTTTATGCTGGTGTTTGGTGTGTATGTGTGTGTGTGTGTTCCTCGAAATTCACCGTGGAGGAAACTCGAAGGTGACGACAAACGAGCCAGACGGGACATCGTATAGCGGGCTTGCTCGATATATACAGGTTAAAGGCGGTCATAACTATGTCACAGCTCCGGTGGACCGAATTCTCTTGGGCTATTTGCTGGGGCAGGGAGGGAACGGACGCTTGGAAAAGGGGATGAGGCTCAAGCGGGGTTTTAGTGAGGTTGGCTGGGATGGGTGGGTTAAGTTTACGGGGTCAGTTTGTCGAGAGGCGAGTCGCGCGGAGGGGGCATACTTGGAAGCAGGGGCGAGGAAGTGGGTACCCGAGTTCTGGGATATCGTTCTACAGATGCCTTGGGTTTTGCCTCAAGGGGGAGGGGGGAGGGGGAGAAGGTCTAAGATTTAAGCCCTGACAACGTCTCAAGCCCAAGTGCACTGGAGGTTACGTAGGTGAACACTGGCAAGGTACATGACAGGGACTAGTTTAAGGTTTTCACCTGCCAATCAGTTGGAATCCGACTTCCAATTCGAAGGATGTTTTTTGTTCCTGTGTGATTTTTTATGGGGGAAAAAGAGTAGCTCACGTCACGATAATTGACGTGAGAATTGGGGGAAATGTTTGGTCATTGGATGGGGAGAACAATGCGGAGAAAATTAAGCAAGGGAGTGACGGACTTGAATCAGATAAAGCTTTTTTTTCAAGTTTCCTAGGTTTATTTCAATAATAGTTTTGAATAGATCGAGGGAAAATGTCAATTTCAGTTGAATTCATTGAAAATTCAACATAATTTGGTGCTGAATATTCATGTTTTGAGTGTAAATTCGAATAAGTTGGGGAATTATTATTTTCCTGCTGCTAAAAAAATTGTATTTTCAATATTTTTAATAATGCATTCTAAATAATTGATCTATTAGACCAGGATAAACGAATTATTTGATCTAAATAAGGAATTGTTACATATTAATGAATTATTTTGCTTCCCCCTCTAAACAATGATTTCTTTTCTCACAAGTAAATCTCTTCTTTGCATGAAACATTTGCCCATATGTGAAAAACTACTCATTTAATGTAATTAAAAAAGCCTAGAAAAATCAAGTTTGCGAAAAATGGTTATGAAATTTTAAGGTATAGGTAGAATTCAAAGAAATTCACGAGTTTTCAGTGGGAGTGAGATGGAAATTTCACAACTTAATGGAATTTTCAATGGAACATAAATGTTCAGAAACAGAATGACGTGAATATTCAAACTTTTCCTGAATTTTTCTGAATTTTTACCGAATAATTTCACTGAAAAATCAAGTATTTTATTGATTTTCAGATCATTCGAACAGAAAATCAATGGAATATTTGATTTTCGAATGGCAATATCCCCTGAAATTTCAGTGGAAATTAAACGCGATAAAAATTCCCAGGATTTGCCACGGAAAATTCAGACGAAAATTTTTAATAGCGTGGGTGTAAATTCTTTTCAGAATAACTCTACCCCCCCCCCCCCCCCCCCCCC